AAAGTAAGTAGAGAAATAAGTGTCTTGTATTTTTTTTTTTTTTTTTTGCAGGCGGAAGGAATGAAGAGGGCAGAGCAACCACTGCGCTGTTGGCCCCAGTGCCCTTCTACTTCGTAGTCCTGGATTCTCATGAAGCTTAACCACAAAAGAGATCGAAAACACCCTGGTTTGAATGGAGCACTCAGGGCTCCTCCCGCAGTTCTCACTCAGCATTAGTGATACAGCGGTTGTGTGGGTCACAGCAGATGTAATTTTCAGAAGGGTAACTGGAGGGTTTAGAGTTCAGTGTGTAAACTGAACCCTAAGGAGCATGAGGCAATGGGCAGGGTTTTCTCTCACCGAGGAAATCTCTTGGTCCAGAGTAAACTTTAAGCAATTGTGTTTTGTTGACTCTAAGTTTCAAGACTAATCAAGTATCTACTGTAGTTTGGAAGGCTCCCTGCTGAACTCTGTTTTTATCTGTTAATTTCGTGTTTCCGTCTTCCTTGGCAGTAGGCACCATTTAGGTGATAGTAGGTTAGATAGTCGCCTCAGTGAGGCAGGAGGAGAGTAGAAAGATTCTGTTAAGTAGATAATAGAGAGGTTTAGAATTGTTGAGTGATTATATTAGAGCTCCAGGTGGGCAGGTCTTCGGGGTAAAAGCAGGAGGGCAGGGTTGGAGCTATACCAACAGGCAGAGCACTTAGTACATACCAGACATTGTGGGGAACCTTTACAAGTACTATCTCATTTCATGCTCATAAGAATCCATGAGGTGGGCACATCACAGATGAAGAGACTGAGGTTCAGAGTAGTCAAGTTAATTGCCCGAAGACACACAGCTAGACTTCTTGGGGGCAGAGCAATCACTCTGACTCCAGGACCCTGCACTCTTAGTCTGTCTCTTTAAAAGCTCCACGATTGCTCTGGAGTTTGTATTCCCTGCTCCTGAAAGAGTGCTTAGCAAGTAGGAGGTGCCCCCGACATATTAGTCAGCTGAATGTGTACATTCTCCATGCTGCCTTGGCCTGGGTCAAGGTCAGTGTGCTCCACCAGTCAGGGAGACCTGGAAGCTGCATTTAGATGGCCTTTCAAACTTCTCCAAACTTTCTGTTCAAACTTAGAACTTCCTGGATAATTGTCACATTAATGCACCCTCTTTATTGTAGCAGAATGAAAATACATATTTAAAAGTGGTGATTATCGTGGTTATCACAGAGTTATTTTTAAAAGCAAAAAAAAACAGGTAATTACTGAATGTCCGATGGCAAGGAACTGGTTAAATAAATCATGGAACGCAATGACTTAACAGGTGTTAAAAATCAAGTTATGGAATACCCCATGGCATAAAGCGCATTCTTAATACATCATTCAGGGGGAAAACAGGTTGCAAAATGCTACATAGAGCATTAGCTCAGTAATGCACATGTATTCGTGCAGAGAGAAAAGTCTGGAGAAAAATATACTAACATGTTCATAGCAGTTACTTCTGTGCAGCAAGAGGATGGGCAGTTTTAATTTTCTTCTTTATGATGTTTAAAATTTTGCTTTCAAATTTTCTACAATAACTATTAACTTTACATTCTGAAAAAAGCAATAATGTGATTTTTAAAAAAGCAGTTATAGTAAAATTTGGATCCTTGTTTTAAAATTAAGATATGAACTTGTAATCTAGTGAAAGACAGCATAGTGTAGCTGGGGAGAACGTGGACAGTGGAGCCAAACCGCCGGTGTCCAAGTCCCAGCCCCACCGTTTACAAGCGTGACCTTGGCTAAATGCCTTACCTGTGATTCAGTTGTATGTATGCAAAACGGAGGAGCAATCACTTCCTCCCTCAAAGAGTTGTTATGAGGATTAAATGGATTAGTCTATCTAAAGCAGTTACAACAGCCCGGATGAATTTATTACTATTTTATCATTAAAAAATCTCTCAGATTCCCTCATCCCATCTCTAAAATGCACAGGCAAGGGCACGCCGGGGGCCGGCAGGCAGAGCTGCTCACCTGAGCCTCTGGTTCAAACGCGTGAGGAGGATGTGCCAGGAGGACCCCAGGAGGAGGTCCCGCTGGGCCTCCCAGGGCTGTGTCACCATGAAAATAAGCGGATTTTGCAAAGACTCTGATTTATTATGTCCTCACTTACTAGCCAAATTAGCCAAAATATAGTTACAACCAGGAAAAAAGTGAAAATAGATTTGAAAAAAATTCTTCCTATTTTAACCCTCAAATCAGCGTCTACCCTGACCCCCAAACGTAAGCCGCCTTGTGAACTTCACGCCTCATCCTTCACCCTCCTCACACCCTCCCCTCGGCCAGCGCCCCACTCCGCTCCCAGGCCTGGCTTTAGTGACTGAGCCCCACACGGGGGAGGCTGAACTCCACGGCAGCCCGCGCCGGCCCTGACCTCTCGGCCCGCCGAGGTCCTGGGAAAGGGAGCCGGACCTGACCCCGGCAGGAGGGGGGAGTGGCAGTGAGATGCCCCCCCAGGACCCGCTCCCAGGCTGGCCTTATCCTGCCGTGGGGGCTGGGATTTCCTGCCCGGAAGCACAGGCCTGGACACAATGGGAGTTATCAGTCACCATCGGGGGATCAGGACCACAGTAGGAGCCCTCCACTTAGCTGTGGGGTTTCCAGGCCCTTCCTGTGTGAATCTTTACTTCCGTGGAAGCTCTTGTTTGGGCCTCTTCCAAGAGGGAAGCCCCTCCCCCGGCTTCCCACCCTCTGCGGCTTTGGGTCGGCTACCTCTCCCTTCCCATCCTTTGGGTCCTCCTTTAGGCTGAAGTCAACTTAGGCTGGGAATGACCAGAGCCTAGGTAAGGAAAGTGTTTCCTGCTCTTTCTAGATCTGTTTTGCTTTTTTAAATTATAGATGAAATTGCTATATTAACTTAATTGTCTTCCATGATGATGATAATAATTCCATCAACTGAAAAAATTAATAAATTATACCTGTGTTGAGGTTTACCTTCTTAATCTAAGAGCTTGTTTGACTTATTGAACAGTACTCAGCATAGGGTCTGTCTATGCTGAGGAGCAATTTTTTAGGTTTTTTTTTTAACCCAGTAGTTTACTTACAAGCAAACATTTTAAAGGAAACTTAATACAAATCATGTTGCAAGTCTTAATAGTATGAACAGCAGGTTTGCTTTAAAAATTCATGTTGCAAAATGACAGCTACCATTCACTGGACGCTTACTCTGTGTATCAAGTGGATTGCTCATGCTAGCTCACCGCATCCTCGGGACCACCTATCCTGTGAATGACAAAACCGATCCTGGGGGAGGCTGAATAACCCTGAGATCACAGGGATGAAACTGTCAGAGCTGAGCTTTGAACTCAGCCTGTGTGATCACGAAGCTTGTGCTTTTAAGCCTGCATTCGCCTGCTGCCTCCCAGTGCTGAGACCACGCACGCCCACCAGCCATCGCGGACGTTACTGCAGCACGTGGGTGCGGCTTTAGGGCTGAAGGCTCGGCTCGCCTCATGCACACAACCCCGGCCACGGCTCCTCCAAACTCACCTCGCCCACAGGAGTTTAGCACCTCTAAACTCAGAAAAGAAGAAAAGATGATGGTATTTGTTCCCAGAGACCCCCCTTTACTATTCACAAGATAACTAAGCCACAAAGAAAGTGCCAACAAGCTAAACCAAGGTGCGATCTTTCTGTGTCCGTCTGTGCGTGGAGCAATGTATATGTACATCATAGAATAGCAAGTATTTTCCAAACGACTCTTGGGATGTTTCCATCTTTCTAGACTTTCTGTCCTTGTCTGCCTGTAGGGTAACTGAGTATTGCCAACTCCTGTTCCCAAGTTGGATGTGGGAAAAGAGAAAGCAAACGAAGAGAAAGAAAGGAGGAGGAAAGAAGAGGAAGAAACGTTCATCCACTAGGAGATGGAGGTGTGGGAGGAACCCACCCGGGGCTGAAGGCCCGCTCTCCCCTCCCTCCAGCCCTGGGGCTCTGAGCAGCCATCGCTCTGCCCTCACCCTCTCCCAGAGGGTGAGCTGCTGCGGGCAGTGAGCCCCACACAAGGGCGGAGGGGCAGCCAGGCCTGGGGGACCCCCAGTGGGAGGCCTGCTCTGACTCAGAGGGGAGTGGGCCAGACCTCGCCTCCCTGTTTACGCTTGGATTCCATGGGGACCCGTTGTGCAGTGACTCAGATCAGCTCTCATTGCCTCGTGAAGCCCAAGGGATGGATGTCAGTGCCTGTTGTTGGTAACACCCCAACAGTCAGTTTAATGTATTTGATTAACTTTTGTGACATCCGGCCAGCCGCCTGAGGGTGGGGCTCTGAGCTCATGATGACACATGTGCCTGCAGCCCCATGGGTCCCTGTAGCTGCTGTGGCCTCCACGGGACCTCGGGTCACATGCAGGGCCACCATCCCAGAATGTGGTCCAGGGGAGACCCCCCCAGAGGGAGGGCAGCGGGCATCCCCAGGGAAGGATGGTGCTGGACAGTCCGGGGAGCCATCCCGCCCTGCCCCCGAGGCTAGGTGACCTCATGCAGCGGGGGGCCTCTGTGACCTCTGCAGAAAAAAGTAACTGTGGGTCCCTTTGGGGTGCTATGAAGACCATGTGCCTTGGGGTGGAGGTTTCCCAAATGTATTGACCAAGGGCCCCGAGATTTCCTGGAGAGCCCTGAGTTTTGGTCAGGGAGCTTCTTCCCATATCCCAGATAGTCTGCTCAGGGTTTTGTGAAGTTCGTGGCCTGGACGCCGTGGGGTGACTCTCTGTATGTTGGGAGAGCACTGCCTTCCGGCACGTCCTTGGAGGACTTGTGACTGGACAAGGGAAAAGTCCAGTGCTGGCCCCCAGTGCTGCTTCATCCGAGTAAACGGCTTCCATTCACCACGACGAGGACATTCGGCTCTCTCTGTGGGGACCGCTGCATCAGCCGGATGCAGAAAAGTTGCATGCCCAGTGATATCGACGCGCTCAGGTCTGAGGCCCGAGGTGGCGGGTGCGGGGGGAGGTCTGAGGAAGGGCTGCGCCCACAGTTACTGGGGCCGCCACCACCCCTGCTTTCCTCCTGTGTTCTGAGCACGCCTGCTCCCCGGCGCCCCCTGGGAGGCAGCCCGAACCAGCTTCCCCTGCCTGGGATGAGGGCCGGGGCAGCCCCCCCGGCTCGGCTGGCTCAGCCCAGCCGGCCATCTCCAAGTCCAGCACACGCGCTGTTCAGCACCAGGCCAAGCTCTCGTGGCTGAGAGGACAGAGCCCTCGGCCCACCCCGCCAGCCCCCACGGCCTCCTGGCTGAAACGCCTGCTCGCACCGGACCCGGGTGAACCTTGTTCTTCCCAACAATTAGCTCATGAGCCCTCTGGCTCCTTGTTTCTGGTTCTCAATTCAGTGAAGTTCCAGATTTGATTGAAAATGAAACAGGAGAAAGTGGTTTGTAAGACGAGAGAGATTTGTTCCTCCTTCTCCAGGGTGAAGGATGATTGCAAGGACAGAGCCTGGTCGCTAAGGATTCTGGTTTAAGTAACACGTACTTTGGGAAATCGTACTCTTTTCAAGGGGCTTTTCCACTGCATGGAGGAAAGCGCCATAGCTTCACTTGGGAAACAGAGGCACTGAAAATCAGAGAGGCCGAGTCATTTCACAGCTTCAAACAGGAGATGAAGACTGGACCCGAAGCTCCTTTAAGCTGGTAATTCTGTTCTATCATGTTCCTCAGGGAGGAGGTCTGGGGACCCAAGGGCTCTTCAGTTTGCAAAGTGTGTGTCCCAGACCATCAGTACAAAGTTGGTGGCACCCTGTAAGGAAAGCTGTACGAATGCACCCAGACCCACACTTCCAGGAAGCTCTTCTGTGAAATTGGAGTGATGCAAAGACACAGTTAGTGGCGTTGCTTATAATACGGAAAAATTAGACATAGCCTGAATATTGAACAATTGGGAACACATGATTGTATTCACTGTGCACCACTGAAAACGACGTTGTGGAAGAGGCTTGTCAAAGAAACCACGCATCGCTGAACGAGTAGGCAGAGTCGGTTTGCTCTTTGCCTAGCTTCTTGAGGTGTGAAGTCAGGCTGTTCGTTCGAGACATCTTCCTTCCCTTCCTGCTCAGAGCTGCTGACTTCCTGCTCAGAGCTGCTGCATCCCACAAGCTTTGGTATGTTGTCTTCCCATTTTCATCTCTCTCAAGATGTTTTTTTAAATTTCTTTCTTGATTTCTTCTTTGACCCACTGGTTGTTTAGAAACGTGTTGTTTAATTTTCACGTAGTTATGACTTTTCCAATTTTCTCTTGCTATTGATTTCTAGTTTCATACCATTGTGGTATGATTTGGTATGATTTCAATCTTCTTAAATTGGCTAAGACTTGTTTTATGCCCTAACGTATGATTTATCCTGGAGAATGTTTCATGTGTGCTTTAAAAGAATGTATTTGATGGAATGTTCCTCATGTCTGTTAGGTTCATTTGGTCTAAAGCATAGCTCAGGTCCAACATTTCCTTGTTGATCTTCTGTCTGGATGCTCAGTCCATTGTTGACTGTAGGGACCGAAGTCCCCTACTAGTGCTATGTTGTCTATTTCTTGCCCCGTTTTGTTAATATTTGCTTTACATATTTAGGTGTTCTGATGTTGGGTGCATATATATTTACAATGGTTATGTCTTCTTGATGGATTGATCCCTTTATTATTATATAGTGATTTTCTTGGTCTTGTTTGACATTTTCCAACTTAAAGTCCTTCTTGTCTGATGTAAGTATAGCCACCCTTGCTCTCTTTTGGTTACCATTTGCATGGAGTATCTTTTGTCATCTCTCTATGTTCAGCCTATGTATGTCCTTAAAGCTGAAGTGAGCCTTTCTGGGGCAGCATATTGCTGAATCTTGCCTTTTCATCCATTCAGCTACTCTATGTCTTTGTAGAATTTAACCCACTTACATTTACAGTAATTATTGATAGGTAAGGATTTACTGTTGCCATTTTGTTATTTGTTTTCTTGTATTCCCTTCTCTCTTGCTGTCTTCCTTTGTGATTTGATGGGTTTTTGTAGTGGTTTGCATTGATTCCTTTCTCCCTCTTCTTCTAAGCTTGAGCATTTCTTTAAAGGAAGTTTTAAAATTACCAATTTAATCTCTTCACTTGTTATAGGTCTTTTGAGATTTTATACTTCTCCTTGAGTTAGTTTCTGCAGTCTGTGTCTTTCTAGGAATTTGTCCACTTCATCTAAGTTGTCTGATTTGTTGACACACAGTTGTTCACGGTATTCCCTTACAATCCTTTTTGTTTCTCTAAGATCAGTAGTGATGTCCCCTCTTTCATTCCTGATTGTAGCTGCAGCTACATTTCAGTGCAAAGATAGTGTATAACCATGGGGACAAAACATTTCTATTCAAGAAAGCAAGTGTCTTTGTAAGATTTCAAAAGGAATAACGTAAATGAAGGAATCAAGACCAGCTACCATAATGAAGGTTTGTTTCAGCAGTGCTGGAAGACAGTTCCTAAAAATTATCTTATATACCTGGAAAATTAGAGACAACATCTCTGTGTTTTGGGATTGCCACCGTTGGAGTCTCACGCATTAGCAGAAAAGGCATGTCTCAGCACACAGGGCGGCTGAGAGTTATCTAATAACATATGGCTAAATTTTATGAGCAGAAATAATTTGAAAAGGAGACTAAAGTTGTAAAATTCAACACCCTTTTTCATCCACATGATAAAATCATAAAGGGAAGATTTCATTAACTATTTATTGCTTTCTTTAATTGTTTTCAGGAAGGCAGTTTAGAAGAAGAAAGAGAAAATCGTCAGGCTTCCCAGTTCCCACAAACCATGCAGCACAAGCAAGTCTGCTGTCCTTAAATTCTCAGCTGGGAGATGAACGAGCCATTATTTGGAAATGAGCTAGAATGTTTAGGAGAATGATAATGCAGGTCTAAGGATTTTCACTGATTGGGGAATATTCCAGTACATT